CACCCCCGTCCCAGGCTTGTCAGCCTTCTCACTTGCAGCCTGAGGGGCAAACCTGCACCAGGAAGACTCGAAGCACGCACTCCCGACTGGCCCTGTACCTTTGCCTGCAGGAAGGAATACATCCCAGCTTCAGCCCAGCCCTCTTCTGGGGTGTTCAAGGTTCTTGGCTTTTCCAACAGGTCAACGGGATTCTTTTGCTTCCAGAGTGCCAGCTAAGACTCTTTCTGGGTGGGGGCATGGGGTCGGTCCAAGTTCATGTGAACACTAAATACTGGGGAAAGAACTGCACTTGTGCTGTTTAAATCAGGTTGAGAAGAAAACACTGGAGAAAGATTAGAAAGGGCGGGGGGAAAAAAAGATCTGACTTAGCAAATCCTTAATTTTCTAGGCTTTTTTTGGGGGATTGGCGTTTCATGCGAGAGATTCCAGGACAGTTGGAAGGATACAGAAACCCAAGGAAAAGTAGCAGTGGATGTTCCAGCTTCACGTGTTCATCCACACTTCAGATGTTCTCAAAGTCCATACATAGAATTCGATGCAACGCAGGCTCTCAGATTAACACTGCACGGTCCGGTCAGAGGTGTCTGGCGTGGTGGTTGGCATTTTCCTTTGGCAGCTCGTTTTCTGGACTCTCTGGCGTAGACTGACTAACTGCACACATTCGGAGCCCAGGGTGTATGGACATGCAGAGTACCCGCAGCCAAGGTCTGATGGCATCAACGTCGCCCTCTGGAGTTCCTCCCGGGACTCAAGTCTTTGTCCAGAAGCAGGGTAATTGAGCCAAATAAGGTGTAGACATAGCAAAAAGCCTTGGTGACAATACTTTCAAGTTTTCAGAAACGTTGTCACCACTGGATGAAAATTCAGTGGGGGGCATCCTGTGGTAGGTTTCCAGTGGGACCTATTGTTGGCTTAGATGGTCTTTTGAAACATCGTGTTCAGATACTCTTAAGGGTAATGTCTAATCAGTGTGAGCTCTAAAACCTTGAACTACTAGGGCCCCCCAGAAAGTCAGTCTCTCTCAGAAAACGATTGAAGAGTTTCTTTCTCAGAGTTAGGACACCCAAATTAAGAGAGAGGAGAGAGAAAGTAGTCACGGTGATTAAGCAAACCACCATTTTGAATGAAAACATCTGTACAAGATAAAAGCCACTTCGAGGATGACACGAAGTGATGAGTACAGGACGCTGCTCATGGGGACACTCTGATCGGAGCCGAGCTGGGGCCGCTCACTCCCTGGGGCTGTGCTGCCTCGTCACCACAGTCATCGAGAGTTGTGCCCGTGGATGTGCCCGATGGAGATTTTGCTGGTGACTGTGTTGGGGGCAGGTGGGGGGCAAGACTGGGAGAGCGTAAGGCCTCAGTGTCGCTCAGCTCCCCAGCATCATTAGGGTTCCCAGCAGGCCCCGCTCTGGCAGTGGAGGCAAAGGTGTGAGATGAGGGGGGCAAACTTGGCCTGCAGGGAGCGGCTGGTGCACAGCAGCTAGGGGACTTCTCAGCTGCTTCAGACGGAGCCGCAGAGGAGGTCATAGCCGCCGTTCTAGCGCGGGAAACCGGGTCAGAGGAGAAGGGCCTTCAGACCCTCCAGGGAGAGGAGATGGGAGGAAGCAAGCAGGCCATGGCCCGGTACACAGTCCTGAAGCTGAGCCCTGTCTCCGAAGGGCTGGCAGCGACAAGGCCTGGAGGGGACCCAGGGGGCCCGGGGAGCAGCCTTCCAGATGAATAGCACCCATAGGAACAGAAAACAGGACACGATTTAAGGCATTGTTTGTTTACAGTCAAAGAACACAAGGGACCCTTAACACAGAAATCAGCTGGGCTCTCGCGCTGACCTTCCTTGGCAGACAAGGCTAGAACTGAAGCTGAACGTGCCTCCATGCGAATGAAGTGTGAGATGTCACAAGTCTTGTGCCAAAATGCATGTTTCTCAGAGAGCAGTACTGACTCGCTCGCTCCTCGTACACACGCATACACACACAGCACGCACACGCAGAGGACGCTTCGGGGGTTGTACAAAATCTGAGGCAGCCCTGTGGGCGAGCCACCCCGTGCACTTGGGGTGTAAAAAGCCTGCTCCACAGCCTGTCCCCTCCTCTCAGGCCCTCTCGCAGGTTTCTGCTGTCCACTCTTTGTGCAGTAGAAAGCTGGGAACCCAACGTGGGCCAAATGCTCTCTCGTCGCAGCAGGCAGCTGGTGGACGAGGGTCCAGAGAGGGAGGTGTGCAGTCTGGGGTCCAGCCACGGCCCCTCGAGGTGCTGCTACAGAGTGAGTGTCACGAGAGTCGCTGGGGGGTGGCAGGTGGATCCTGCACCAGCAGAGTCCGCTGAGGCGGTGTGGCTGTGGGCCGAGTCCCCTTGCGTCTGGGGGCGGTGACTTCCCTTGCAGCCTGGCCAACAGCCTGTGCCCAGGGCATGCTCTTCTGCACTAGTCCCAGGCCGGCGAGCCCAGCAGCCTTTGAAGTCATGCCAAGTCCCGCAGAGACTTACTCAAACGACATAAGGTTCGCAGGGACCTAGAAGAGAAAGCTCAGCCTCCTGTCGAAGTCTAGCCTTTCCAAAGGGAACAGGTGGGTCCCTAAGGAAGGGGCTGGACCGTTCTCATGCGGGGAATGAGCAGCTCAGGGGGAGAAAGGGCATTCTGATAATAATAATAATAATAATAATAATAATAATAATAATAATAATAATAACTGAGGTAGTTAGTTTATTGTGCCAACCTGGCCGATAAACACATGTGGGGTTAATTGAAGGGCGGAGGGATAAATGGCTCGGTGAGCCTCACCTTGCTAGTTCTCGGGTCGCTTGCTTTCTGATGGTAGCACCAGAGTGCAGCTGCCTTAGCCAGTTCCCTGCTTCAACTGACAAAGCTCATTTCCTGCAAGACATCCCTGAGGAGAAGCCACATGGTCCTACCCCGATGCAGCCCTGGGTGCTGGAGCACCCATGTGGAGAGCCCTGCCAGTGCTGAGATGTTTATACATTCACTGACTTGGCTTTCCTCCTGCAGTTGGCATCATTGCGTCTGCTTTGTGAGATGGAGGAGGACTTTGTTGGACTTGTGGGCTTGGGCAGCACAGGGTTGGGATGTGTTCTTGATGTGCACTTAACCTTTATATAAAGCTCTCTCTTAGATATGAGTTTCTGTGGATTTGTTTCTCTAAAGCACCCAGACTAACACAATGACCATTTGTTTAGGGAGTGCTGCAGACCAGCCATCACCTGAGCACTTCACGGGCAGCCCGTCCTTGGGTCCTCAAACAGCCCCATGAGGCAGGTGCCAGAACTGGCCCCATTATAAAGAGGCAGCTGCTAAGGCTTGGCAAGGGGGCGTGCACAGCGAGGGCAGGGCAGTACTGTACCAGCGACACACTCTCCCTGGCTACCCTCTGGTCAAAGCACATCAGCACTTGGGGTGGGGAGGACAGATTACCCAGGAGGCGGAGCGGAATGGTGTCAGAGGCTGGTGGGAGCTGGTAGGTGGGTGCACAAAGAGGAGTAAGTGGGGATATTAGGGACCCCAAACCTGCCCATAGCAATGCCCCAGGCCTGCTCCCTGGATAAGGTTCCAGCCCCCTTCACTGTGGGACACCCCTTCTCCGCAAGATCAGCCTGCTTCCCCCTTCCCTCAAAGCTCCTAACACACGCTCCACTGAGCCATCTTGCCCAGTACCCCTCTGGGCTCCAGGACATTGGATTCTAAGCAATTTCATTAAAAAAAAAAATCCATCTTGGCATCAATTTGGCCAAAATGATGAATTGGAAAAGATGCGTCTTCTTGTTGGGGCAGTTCTAAGAATGGTCATAGCAGCGCTGTTCGAATAGCAAAGGCAAAACAAAAATATAGCAGAAAGTAGGAAACACTGGGCATCTCTGATAGGAGGAATGATCACACACACACGATAGTTACATGGATCTATAGACGAATCTTAGGAACACACTGCAGGAGAAAAGCAAGGCTCGGAAGAAAATAAGCTATGATTCTATTTATAAAAAGTCAAGCAGATATACATCAGACAGTACATTGTTTAAGGAATCAAGTACAGGGTAATGGAAAGCAAAAAACACACGAACCAGGAGAGGAGTTAGGAGGTCGAGGTGGGAGTGGGAGTGGGAGAGAGCGGACTAGGGAGGGGACCCTCAGGGGAGAAAGGGGCCCTGGTCTCCCTGTGGTGACAGGCTTGGCCGCTAACCTTTGCTCCCATGAAGATGTCCAGCTCCGGACACCCTCTGGGGGCAGATCCACTCTGTCGTGTAGGGCCCTCGGTTTGGAGTGGATTTGAAGGTGGCAACGGTTTTCAGACCTGGAGGAGGGGCGTCAGGCCCTGGGAGCTTCTGCTTAGGCTGAGTGGTGGGGCAGTGAGTGTTTGTTTTCTTGCTGTTGTTTCTGCCTTACACCTTTACACTTATGTTATAAATAATGCTTTAGTGTATTCAGTGTTGATAAAAAACAATTTCAAAAAATGCCATTCCACCAAACAGAAAGCAAATCTCCCTGGTCCCTTGAGATTTTTCATGCGAAAAGATGCATTTCTGTAACACCCTCTATTACCCCCGCCTTGGGCTCCATCACACCCCACGCTGCACTTCACTGAACTAACCCGCTGCTGCTGAAGACTGAGGCTGGTGCCAACTGGTTATGACCGCGCAGAGCAGAGAGGGGGAAGACACGGTGGAAAGTACATTAGAAATAAGACAAAACGTGGAAAAGACAGAGTAGCCCCTCCCCTACATCTAACAATTGGGCAGAAATAATTTGCAGAAGGTCCTTTGCAAGTTTTGCCTTTGCCAATTCCTGAAATTCCATCTCCTCGTCCTGCTGATCAGATGCCAGCTCTGCCTAACTGGTTCGAGCCAGGTCCCTGCTGTCTGTTGGAGAGTGGCTGCCAGTCCCAGCTCGGTCCTCAGAAAAGGACAATGGGCGCTTGCTCAGGGCTTCAGCTCCCAATCCTGCTGGCAGCCACTCAAGCACCATGGATGTAAACCTAAATCGGGCAGAGGCCAAGGCCCTGCCTATGTCCCCTGGCATCGAGGGGCAATGGACCTATATATGGCAGCTCTGACCAGTCCCCTACAATTATCTCCCCCCCCTCACCACCATCCTGGAGGTCTACCTCAGGCTGTCAGTCCGTGTCCAACCTGGAGCCATCCCAGCCTCAGGCTCAGCAATCACAAGAGCCATATGGGTGTGACAGGTGAGCTCCAGGGTGCGGGGCTCTTAGCGAATGGCACTCAGAGCTACCGGGGCCCCAGACAGGGTGAGCGGGGCAGGGGAGGGCAAGATGCTTGTCCCAGAGCAACGTACCCCAAGGCAGCATAGCTCTGCTCCAGTCTCAGCGCACTGTGCACTTTGGACCGCCTGGAGAGGACTGCAGACCCAAACCCTGGTCTTCCCACCACGTAGCTGGGCAATTACACTCTAGAAACTGCAGAAGTATAGCTTCTTACAGAGGTCTACAGTTTTGTACATACCATTTCAGAAATTTTATATGCACATGCAAGCATGCCTTCACTAAAGATGCATCTGTATCTTAACACAAAGGAGAGCAGTGTGTGCATACTTGGCACTTTCTGCTTTGGTATCTGTATCCTGAGGACTCTTCCCAGGCACCACCCAGGGATCTACCCTGTGTCTCGAACAGCTCGCAGGATCTAGAGCTGGTCACCGAAGTGGTGCCCAGGGACATGTCAACTGAGAGCAATGCTGCAGGAACACTCTTCAACACATCGTGTGTGTGTGTGTGTGTGTGTGTGTGTCCTCAGACAGACTCCAGAGACCCAACTGCACTCTATTTTGAGCTTCCGGGTGGTCCCTCAAGTTTATCCCTATACAGTTCTTGGCCTCTTGGTTCAATGTGTTGAGAGTTTTCTAGATCCTGATGTTGCCATCCAACCCGTTAATTCTGCAGTCACGCTTCCCACCATCTGTAATTGTGATCAGCTGGTCATATAGGTCATCATCTGTGTTAGATATGGAGATCCTTATCAGGACCATGCTGAGCACAGAGCCGGGGACGTTCGCCAGAATATCTGTGGATGGGCTGTGGCAGCACAGCTGAAGGTCTTGCAGTCACAGACCCAAATGCCAGTGCGAACTTGCCTTTCCCGGGGGTCCCTTGGGCCTCCGTGGAGCTGTCTGCAATGAGACAGCTTATCTTATACTCCCCACTGGTATGGTGAAGCCGCCACCTTTATTCCCTGCCCCGTGCTCTCCTTACACTGCTGAGATGGGGGACCCAACTTTCCCAGCTTCAGTCCAAGATGGAGACGTGAATACTAAGGGGCGGGAGGACTAAGTGCTGCCCACTTGCCCACCCTGAGGAGCAGGAAGGTCCAGCCCATCCTCTTGAGGTGCAGAGGGGAGCAGCCACTTCTCTCACAAGCTTGGATACCCATGGCTGTGCCTCCGGGCCATTAGCATAGCTGCAGGAGCCTAAACACAGTCAAGGCTCCCAAAGAAATGCAAGGTGGGAGAGCTCATGGTGACAGGTAGAGCACTGGGAGTCAGATTGTATTCTAGCTCTCCCTTTTACTAACCACGGGGCTGTCAGTGGCCCAAATGCCAAGTGCAGACAAGAGAACCCACCCCCTTGGGGTGTTGGGAGGATCTGGCTTATTCCTTCACGTAAACCATTCAGTGGTTAGGGCAGGGAGATCACAATGAGCCCCCCCGCCACACACACACACACATACACCGAAGCCACACAAATCCTACTGGCTCAAACAGCCGAGAGGCTCCCTTCATTCACCAGCAGACTTGCAGGACTCTCCACACATTAGCTATTATTAATAAAGGGCTAGTAATGTGCTACCAAGGGCCCTATACACATTAGTTACTATTACTTCTAAGAGTTTAAATGAGCTTTAGTCAGTTTGGAGCAGGCCCGTACAATCAATTCTGGGGGCGAGGGAGTGTGTGACCGACATAGATGGGGCGACTTGACCCTTGTGGGTCTTAGGGCCTCACAATAGATGTTATTGTGGGGCTTCCTTGGGGTAAAACACGGGGACCAGACTCAAAGCTGATCAGAAGGGTGGCTGGGAACACAGCTGATGGGCTCTGGGGGGAAGTAGGGAGCCCTGCTTTCTAATGACCCGTCGTCCCCAGGGGGGTGTGCAGGAGGCACTGCAGATGACAAAGAGGACTTGGCTGACTTTACCTGAGGCCTGTTGCTTTTACATGCATCGTCCAAATGCTTGTGCCACAGTATTGCATGGAAGCGGGAGCCAGTCTGAAACTTGTAAACATTGCCTGGAGGGGAGAAAACTGTTCGTTAGGTATCAAGAGTGTCATTTGGGCCGTCAGCCTGTGGCTGGCAGATGCTGCTAGCTCAATTAGGGGAAACTAAGGAAGATGAAAGGAGCCCTGGTGGCTGCTAATCACAGGGTCAACAATTCAAAACCCCGGGCAGTTCTATGGGAGAAAGATGAGGCTTTCTGCTCCCGTGAAGAGTAGCCTTGGAACCCCCGGGGGACAGTCCTACTCTGTCCTGTGGGTGGGTCTGCTGTGTGAGGGAAATCAAGAGCAGCTGCCTGCACTCTGAGGGCTTCTCTCTGGGTCTGGGCCCTTAGCCATCTGGGAGGCCATGGTGCACTTGACAATCTTGTGAACGAAGCCGTGGACCTCTTCTTGGAATAATGCTTTAAATGTATAAAAGAAACTACAGAAGAAATTAATAATGTTGAAACCGTTATGAAACGCTTTCTTAAAAACCTCAGAATTGCCTCTGTGTCCGTTAGGAATGCACCAATAATAATGAGGGTTAGTGGCAGGTCTGACACTGAGCTGTCATTTTGAAGTGAGGAGCGTAAATGGCAGCTGTAGCAATATGTGCTACAGAAACATCTGTGATTTCTCTTAGAGACGAAACCACAGACCTTGTATTTTCATCGTCTGATACCTACGACCCAAACTGAAGGAGTTAGAGGCACTTCCCCCCACTTCAAGTTCATGGATCTTTTGAGTTCTGTCCATGGACCCTGCTGGCCCCGAGTCAGAGTGTCCTTTGCTTCTCACTCACTGACATGGAGTCCATGCCGACTCACGGCGGCCCTGCAGGACAGAGGAGGGTTTCTGAGACTGCCACTCTTTACTGGAGAGGTTGAAAGCCTCATCCTTCTCCCAGTGGAGCGGCTGCTGGTTTTGAATTGCTGACTGGTGGCTTTTGCTTTGCTTCAGGCTAAGACCAAAGAACACATGACCTATGTGTTCAGCATCCCTATGACCTATGACCACAGCGTCTCTAAGCCAAGCTCATGTACGCATAGTGGTTCCTTTTGAAAGAAGTCACCAACCCTAATCTGGGCCCAGCATGTTAAGGAATATTCTCAAGGGGCAGCCAACTGAGGCCATACCACTGCCAGCATGTGGGCTGAATCACGCAGAAGTTGATCAAGAGACCTGGGCAGGCTGCCTCCCCTCCCCATTCCCAGACTCTGGCAGGCAGATGGGCACCTTGTCTTCCTTGGTTTCTTTCCTTCTCAGCTAAGAACCTTACAGCCTTGACTCGCAATGTGGCATCTTGACGAGCAGTACCCCTGGGAGCCTCAGCTCTACTGACTCCAAACCTGAGTTTTAACCAGACCCTCGGTAATTTGTACCTATGTGGACCCTGCATCAGATTCTTCCTGTGAAGTCCGAGGATAACTGGGGACACTGTAGCCCCAGTAAGTTCACCTGGACGGACCTCCAGTCCTGAGCAATTTTGTTTGTTTGTTAATACAACATGGGCTCCTGCGAAGTCTAGCCACGGCCTCTGCTGGACATCAATGCAGAACGGGCTGCTGGTCAAGAGGGCGCCCAAGCTTCTCGCCCTCCCAGCAGGGTCATGAGGGCAGGAGAGAACCAGGAGGTACAGGAAGGTGGCTGGGAAAGGACCAAAGCTGGAGCTTATCATGCCTTTGAGAAAGGGTCGTTCTCCGAGCTGGCTTTGACAGGGGCCCGGCGGAGGTCCATGGAGCAGGCGGTGTCAGGGGCTCCTCACTCTCACGGTCACCGCCTCCTTGACACACAGTTCGCCCAAGGCCTTGAGACTACAGGTCCAGGGGCCATGCGCCTGGCAAGGCTGCACAAAGGGTCTCTGCAGCCACGTGCCACGGACACTGCACACTGGACACTGACCACAGGGAGGACTCTGTGAACACCCGCATCTGAAGCCCAGGGAAAAGAGCAGCCTGTAAAGTCCCCAGCCCTTCACAACACAGATTCAGCAGAAGAGCAAAAGGGGGAACCTACAGGGCCCCAGCCTGTTACTTACCTTTGTCGGGGTTATTTAGCTGGAAGATGTCGGGGTGCTCGGGGTCATCGGGCAGCTGCACCATCCAGCCCAGGATGGAGACCTTTTTGCCAGGAGTAGATTTGTACTGGAAGAGAGCAACAACATCCGGGGAAGCCAGAGCCCATGTCCTCCCCGCGTTCCCTCCACAGGCAGGAAGGCAAGGCTCCCCGTCCCCATGCCTCCCCTCCTGCTGCCCTGAGGTCTCTTTGGGACTCAGGACTTACGTGTTTTCTGTCTGTGCCCCGCAAGGACTTGGCTCCATAGTACAGGAGTGTGGACCCTGAGAGCGTGACCCAGTACCTGGTCCACGAGGACAGCTGGAGGAAGGAGGGGCAGCGTCACTGGGCTGCAAGTGGTGGGGGCAGGTGTCACCCTGCCAGCCATGCGAGCGGTGGGTGCCCACCTCCTGTCAGTGGCAGTGCAGGCTTCATTTCTCCCATGGCCCCCCACCCCTCTGCAGTGCCACCTCCACCCAGGCAGGCCCTGAGGAGGAAGGCACTCTTCCTGAGTGCCTCTGAGTTCCACTTCGGGGATGTTACTGCTAGAGTCAGGCAACGCCCAGGGCATAATGCCTATGCGAGCAGGTGGCCAGGACCCCTGAATGCCCTGGGGAAGACATTTTTTAAAGCCCAGCCATGAAAAGTTCTAGCTTGGGAGAACCAGCGTGCCTTCGAGAAGGCACCCTGCCCAAGACGGAGTGCTGATGTTTTTGAATCAAGTCCTTCTGGGGAGACACGGGGAGAGCGCGCAATACAAAGCTGCAGGCATTGCGGCTGCACGGCTGAAGGCCGGGCTTCCCATGCAGAGGGCTCGGCTGCTCCCTTGGAGCATCTTGGTTCTGTGAAGGCAAGCGAATAGCCCATCCCGGAGGAAAGGCACTGCGTCTCCGGGGGTGGGGGAGGGGCGGGGGTGGGGCGCGGACTGGGTGGCACCACCGTGCACAAGGCTGCCTGCATGTTGGATGGAGCCGCCCTGGCTTTCAGATGCTTTTGACTGACACCCTCGGGAAGACACTGCATTTGACACCGCCCAGTACACACATGCACAAGTGGGGGACTGCCGTGAGTCAGGGTTGACTTGAGGCCCGAGGGTGGTGTGTCACTAGTGTGTGTATGAGGGACCTCTCCGTTCCAGTGTGCTTCATTCACTTCAAAAGGGCTGGTCACGGCCCACGGATGTCACCATGGACTACCGAGTCCACCAGCCTTTAGGAAGGCAGGCCTTTAAGGAAAGGGGCTTCTCTCTGGCCCTGGCATGAGTGGGGCCTGAACCCTGGGCATGGGAAAGCAGCTCTTCATCTTTCTAGCAGGGCAGCAAGCCAGCTTTACGATGCCCCGTGACACGCTAGGCCCAAGTGACAGAGGATGGCCCGGCCACGAGCCACCAGACCGGAAGACAGGAAGCTTGGAGGGCATCTGACGCAGCACCTAGACAAGGGCCCCGGCCATCATCAAGTGGGAGTTCTTAGTGGGCAGTGGACAGGGAGCCAAAGCCTGGCAGGGCCTGGAGATGCAGCTCGCAGATGGCACGGAGACAGCATGCTGCGGCTGCCTGGAAGCAAGTGAGGGGACCTCACCAGGTCATGGCACCGGTGACACTCGGGTCCCGTGTGGCTGGTCAAGGGCGAGCGGTGGATTTCTTGTCCCTCCGGCACTCACTTTAGACTACTTGGAGCGGAGGACAGGGGGAAGGAGCACCCAGCTGTGGGTGTGTCCTGGGCGTCTCTCTCCCTCCACCGTGTCCACACCGACCCTGAGGTGTGCCCTGACCCCCACCGGGAGTTACCAGAGTCAGGATAGCTCCTGTTCTCTGTGTGCAGGTCTTTCCCCAACCAGGTGACATTCTCTCCACGACCTCTCGGAGGTAGGCATTATTTTATTCCTACTTACAAATGGGAAAACAGAGGCCCTTGTCCAAGGTGAGAACCTGATCTGCTGCCCTCTGGAGCCAGGGTCCTCCCATAGCGTCAGGCTGACTTGGCCCAGACATGCACTCACCGCGGGCTTCCGTCCTTCCTTGAGCAGGGTCTTCCTCCTCAGAGGCCCCTCCATGGTGGGCACTGCTGCTGAGCTCCCCAGAGTGCAGATGCACGGGCCAGTGGGGCTGCAGGGAGACCGCCGGTCAGACATCACGCCCATGGAGGGGAGCCGCACAGCTCACTCACTGGAGTCCACTCCCCTCACTTCAAGTTCAGGAACATGAGGGTTTTCTTCTCCATGCACAACCTAATCAATCCCACCAATTCTAAATAGATTCTTAATCTTTTCTGTTCATCTCGGCCACCCCATTGCTCCCACCATAGGCCAGAACTTGATCTCTCCGAGAAACTGTGCGATGCTCCCCCTTGTCCTCCCCGAGTCCCCTCTTGGTATGGCTAGGGTGTCCTCATCATGCCACCAGCCTTCTCGTCCCTTCCCAAGCTCCCCCATCAACCCACTCCATGGCTTCCCAATGGCCTTACACCTTCTTGCTGTAGCTGCAGCCCACCCCTTCAGCCTTACCTGCACCTGTCTCCTCTCACCTCTCACATTGAATGCCCTTCACTCATGGCCCTCTGCACCCCGGATCTGGTGAATCCATATAGCTTCAGGGAGGTCTGCCCTATTCTGAGCCCCTTCTCTTCTCTCTCCCTCTGGGACGATCAGCGCACCCGGGTCACCAGTGTAGTTCCTGTCTCTCCTGCAGGGGCAATGCCTCATAGAAGCAGAGCCGTGTCTGTCTTGTTCAGCAGCCTCTAGAGCAGGCTTGGCAAGCAACGGGCACCCTGTAGCGAGGTGCTGAGTAAGCAAAGGAACGAATAAATGAGTACCTGTAGACACAGCTCCGGGTTCTAGGAGAATTCCGAACTGGAACCCGCCAGTTGGGCCCCAGGGTGGCATAGAGACGTCCCCTGCTTCAGAAGGAAAGGGTGGGATTTTAGCAAAGTGCTGGCAAGAGCAGGTCCTCCTGAAGGAGGCAAGAGCTTCTCAGGCTATGTTGGTCATTAGGTGGGGAAGCCCTACAGAGCAAAAGCTCCACCCCCAATTCCTAATGCAGCCTCCTTGGTCATGCTGGGAGCACATCTGGAGCAGCCAGGCCAGTGATCACAATGGAGCCTTCATCTGGGTAAGTTCCCACGTCTCCAGGTAATTGTTCCTTGGTTGGTTATTGAATGTTCATCCATTTTCTACTGTCAAGGGGATGAAAGAACAGGATAAGCCCACTTACCACAATGTGCAGGTGAGATGCTTAATTAAAATCCAGACAGCTCACATAGTCCACAGCAAGACCGTATCAAAAGTGCACACATACATAGAGAATTGTGGGCAATCCTGGGTGCTGGGTCTGGGGGGCATGTGCAGCATCACCGTTCACCAGGACACACCTGAATCCCCCTGCTCTACCCAATCCACTGTCTCCTTCACTGGTTCCGGCTCGTCGATCAGCTGGCTCCATGACCTGCTGCGGCCCCCTGCAGCAGGGAGTCCGCAGTCCAGAGGAGCTGGGGGGCCAGCCATCCACCTGGTTCCTTTTTCACCTGTAGCTCCCCAGCAGCAAGTCTTTCCAGGGGAAAGCACAAGCTTCATGCATTCTGGGAAAGGCTTCCTTTTCTCCTCACCCCTTCCTTTCTAAGAATAGCACTTCTTGTGTCTGCTGTTCTAACCCCACAGCATGGTCTGGTAAAGCAAAACAGTATCATGAAAGTTATAAAGGCAGACTAAGTCTAGACACATTGCTCTACATCACTACATCTGTGGGAAGAAAGGGGGGGGGGTGGATCACATCCTGAGTAAGCCCAGGGACCTCTAAGAAATCAATGCGTTGCTCCCTGCCCCTCTACTCTTCACCAAAGAAGGAAATGTTCCAGATGCCCATCTTGGGCCCGCTGTCAGGACTCCAAGTTCAAGGCTGGTAGGAGTGTGATGGTCATCATGGGAAACTGCTCCCTCCCACCCCATAAGCTACTTCTCTTTTGGTGATGCCGTGCCATGCCGTGTGCTCAGCTCCCTGAGTCTTCTGATGTGACAGGTGTTGGCCTGTCCCCCACCACAACCGGGGTCAGATGATGGCCGTATGCTGACCCCCTTCCTACCAGTGAGCTGCTCAGAAGGCATCTTCTCTTCCTTCCTGCTCTGAATGCCACAGGTTAGAACTGAGAACACAGTACTCCTTTCCAGGGCTGGAGGCCCCTTCTCTTCCACCTTTCTTCTTCTTTTTTAGTGAGGCAGGGGGTGAGTGATACAGTGAGACAGTGAGAGTGAGGCAGTGAGAGAGTGAGAGTCACGCAGTGAGTGATTGAATGAGACAGTGACAGAGTAAGGCAGTGAGAGAGGGAGGCAGTGAGAGAGTGAGTGAGTGAGAGAGGGAGGCAGTGAGAGAGTGAGACAGTGAGAGAGTGAGGCAGTGAGATAGTGAGACTGAGAGAACAAGACAGTGAATGAGTGAGGCAGTGAGTGAGTGAGTGAGTGAGTGAGAGTGAGTCACTGACTGAGGCACTGAGAGTGAGGCAGTGAGAGAGTGAGACTGAGAGAATGAGACAGTGAGAGAGTGAGGCAGTGAGAGTGAGACAGAGAG